CATTTGACTTCCACTTTTTAAAATACAAGAAGGCAAAGTGCCATGCAGATGACGTCCTACTCCTCCCATCCCCTTCTCAACCACAAAACACAGATGCGTGCAAAGCCATGTCAGCCACCAGAGAGACTGTAAGACGCTTTGTGCTTTAAGTACTCTTTAAAATGCCTGCTTTGTTAGAAGTGGAACAGATTCTGCATAGCTTCCAAGATTCCTGTAGAATACCATCCAATATCTGACTCGGAATAAAAGGAAGATATTTAACCTAAGTCTTACTGTCAGCCAGTCCTGGGGTTACTGGATGTTAACTGGTGTGGGGAGTACACTCTCATCAGGAATACCATTTCTACTCGGAAGAATCCTAAACAAAAACTAAGAGGCTGTAGATTGATCCAACTTTTCAAACATAGTTTAAGATCAAACTCGGGTATGTAATTCACAGCATTATTCTGAGGATGTCTCTGAAAACTCCCAGAATTTTATGTCTTTATATCTGTTGTATATGTTACAATTTAAAAGCTGGTGTGGCTCAGCTGATTGGAGCATTGTCCTATAAACTGAAAGAAAGTTTGTGGGTTTGATTCCTGGTCAGGGCACATGCCTAAGTTTCAAATTCGGTCCCCAATCGGGGTGCATTCCAGAGGTAAGTGATCAATGTTTCTCTCTCCCTTTCCTCTCCTTCTCCCTCTCTCTCCCTTCCTTTCTCTCTGGAATCAGCGAATATATCCTCAGGGGAGGAATTAAAAAATAATAAATAAATAAAATAAAAACAGAGTGTGTAATTTATTAAGAGTGTATGTAATCTTCCACTCAACAGAAGTGTTTTATTTATTTATTTTTTATTTTAATTGTTTTTCAAGTACAGTTTTCTGTCTTTTACTCCCATTCCAGCCCATCCCCCAGCTCTCCCCACCTCCCCCCCCATTTCCACCCCCCTAGTTTTTGTCCATGTGTCCTTTATACTTGTGTTTTTTACTGTGTCTAATCTCCATCTTTTCCCTTCACAGTTTATGACACTGGTGTCCTGCTGAGATGTGCCTTCACTATATCCAAATAATAGAAATAACAGACTGGCTAATATATTCCTCTGGATGATCTAATAGTTTCTTCCAATTTCTCCTATTTTTTTAATTTCAACATTTTTATTTAAATTCACTTAAGATTGTTAAGGTGAAATATCTTTAAAATTCAGAAAATATTTAGAAATATCAGCTATCACGTAACTCCACCCATATTTAACAGACTTTTAAGACATTTTATGATATTTGCTTCATTAAAAAAATAAGTAAATGAATGTAATTAAGCCCTTACCCCTCCCCAGAAGTGTCCATTGTCCTAAATTTAGTGTGTTTTTCCTATACATATTAAGAACAAAGGAAACAAACATGAAGCATTTTATATATTGAAAGAAAGTGTTCCCAAGACTTGAGTTAACAGAAAAACAGAGCATACAAAATTGACAAAAAACAGTGAAATGACATGTCCAAGGTCACACAAGTAACAACTGGTAGAGCTGGACTTTGAGTCCAGGCCTGCTTCATTCTCAGGCTCAGTTTTTCTTCCTCCCACACATGTGTCAACTAGCCATTAAAACAGAGTCTCTCCACCTGCAGTATGGTGTCTGGACTGAATCCTAGATCAGCAAAAGGAGCATTGTTAGAAAACCCAGTGAAATTCTAATAAAATCTAGAGTTTAGTTAATAGTAACACACCAATTTTAATAATCTCTTAGTTTTGATAATAATTATACCATAAATATGTTAAGATGTTAACACTACAAAACTGGTTAAAGGGTATGCAGGTGTGCAATTTTACTGGAAGTCTAAAGTTATTACAAAATGAAGAATATGTTAACAATAAAACAAATATCCCCAAAAATGGTGCCTTAGGTGTTATTCTTAAAACTTATAAGAGATTTACTACATAAAGTCAAATGTTACTAAGGGCATGCTTTGTATGAAAGGCTTTGATTCTAACAGGTTCATTGTTTAAACAGGTTCAGTGGTTTTAAAATAAATGTCTGCCTCAATTATATAGCTTTCTGAAAATATTTCTTGAATAACTTTTTGTATACCATTTTTCTTTTCATGTAGATAAAAATATAGAATACCATAAATATTAGTGTCTTAAAAGATAAGGTGACCTGGTTGTGGTGAACTCCTCCCCATTTCTGCTACAGACATGACAAAAGTTCTGGACTTGTAAGAGCAAGAATTAAACTTAGAGGATTAATAGAACTGCCCGATTTACGGAGCTGTCAGATAAAAGAATCAGGACTTCAGAAATAAATGAATCCTATGAGTAGAACAGCTGAAGCATATAGTTAAGTATAAAACTCACGGTGGTGGTTGACTAGGTAAGGAAAGAGAAAAAATATTGAAAAAGAAGGAGAAAAAAACAAAATAAAGGATGTTAATGAAAATCAGGGCTTACAGTGTCTCCAAGGAATTGAAATGTGATAAATCACAGAATGGGGGAAACAGTGAATAGTAGTACATCAGGTTGTATCACTGCCTCACTCAAAGCCTTCCAAGAGCTCCAGCCATGCAGCCCAGGAGCCAGAGGTCCCTGGGGCCATTGATGACTTACTTCTCTGTCTCCATCACTTCTCCGACTTTATCTCCCTCCCTTCACACCCTCCCTCTCTGCCCTCCAGCCATCCTGCCTCCAGCGTTTCTCAGCGACCCAGGCCTTTGCACTCACTTATCTCTCTGCCTGGAAGGCTCCTCTCCTCCAGACACCACCATGATGCACCCCTTCAGTTTTTCACCCCTTCAGTTTTTGCTCAAATACTAACCTTTCAGTGATACAATACTATAAACACCCCATTTTAAATACTGAGCCCCTAGAACTCCCAATATCCCCACTTCAATCTTATTTTCCCATAGCTGCTTCCATCATCTAACCCTCTTCACTACAGTCAATGTCTGTTTCCACAACCAGTAGGACATAGGTGTTCAGATTTCTGTTTGTTTTTTTCCCTCTGATGTTTCCCCAGTGCCTAGAATGGTCCTGAGCATGTAGTGGGTGCTCAGTAAATATCTGTTAAGTCAATAAATGCACAAATATGATTTTTTTCATTACCATCATTATAGTAAGTGTGATAAAACATTGGAAACTTTTCCGACGTTACTTTTTGAGCAAGAGTCATCTTTTTGATTGTCTATGTTTTCTGAGTATCTTCTGCACTGAACAGTTACTTCAATAATGTTTTAAAAAGAGGGTTTTGTTTTGTAAATACAAGAGAGTTATCTGTTTGTGATGATTTCTCCTCAGGCCCATTCACAGTCAGAGTCAGAAAGACACATTCATTCTTTAGAGGCTTGTTCTTTTTATGAGCTTAAGTAACATTCAGTTATTACCAGAAAGAGCTCCTCATCATAAAAACTTTATATGAACCAATGTTCAGTAGCAGGATACATTGAGCTAATGGAATCATGTAATTCCAACCTCCTCATTTAAAAATAAAGAAACTGAGCCCTGGCTGGTGTGGCTCAGTGAACTGAGTGCCGGACTGTGAACCAAAGGGCCACTGGTTCAATTTCCAGTCAGGGCACACGCCTGGGTTGCAGGCCAGGTCCCCACTAGGGGGTGCATGAGGGGTGGCCACATATTGATGTATCTCTCCCTCTTTCCATCCCTTCCATTGATTCTCTCTGAAAATCAATAAATAGAATCTTTAAAAAAATAAAAAATAAAACAAAGAAACTGAGACCTGGAAAAGTTAAGTTACTTCTGCACAGTTACTTCCAAACACAGCTGACAAACAAGTGTAGCCCTAACCAAAAGACTGAAACACTGAGGAATGGCCTAGCCCTAAACATTTTGCAATGCAGTGAAATTTCAGATTGAAAATCTTTAGTTCATCATTTGACTAAACCTTCATTTTCTCCAACTTATTTCCAATACATTGCTCAAAAATGAGTGTGAGCAGTTGCTTCGAATTATTTGAACATTCAAAATTCTCTTTGCATTAAGATCACTAACAGAGCAAACAATGCGATCATCTAAGAATTTTTGCATACTCAAGGGATACTGCACCATCCAGGACCCACGCAGCACTCAGCCTCTTCATCCAGCCCTTTGCTTTCCCTGTTCAGAGAAGTACGTGGCCAGCATACTTTTACAATTTCTTACTCTTTTCAGTGGCTAGGTTATCTTAACTCTCAAAAAATCCTTCATGATCTAAAAATGCATCACTTTCCTTTCTCAAAAAGCTCCTTCTTTTGCTGCAAAATTGCACAGGTGCCATTGTTTTGTCATAAGTGGGGACAAAATCTGGCATGATATTTTTTTTCCAGAGGTAGCAGCAGCAGCAGCAGCAGTTAATGCACAATGTATATTCCCCAGGTCCCCAGACAGTCATCTCTGATGTTACAGTAACACACAGGCAGACACTTTGGAAAACAGAGACTATAAAATGAAGTTGAAATGGACCAAAACAACCATATTGATTTTGAGTACAATTCAAAACATGGTTTTCTAAATGGCACACACTGAAGAGGATAGGGAGAGATGCACTGCAGAGAGTAAGAGCAGCAAGAGGATTAAGACAATGACAGTAGCAAACATCTTAGTGTTCTTTTACATTGTTTATTTTTCTAAGTTTGGAGAACTGAGAAGCTTGACTTGTGCTGAACTGTCCTTATCTGAAAATCTAAGATTGCTCATTTATGTATATTGTGCTCACTGCTTGAAGCCTGGGCATCAATAGAGCTTACTAAAATAAAGTCTATTACCCTTTGAACCTTTGAACATCCTCTTCAAAGCCCAAATAGTTGTATCTCTTAATCTATCTTTCTCTCTTCTCTCTCTCTCTCCCCCTCTCTCTGCAAATGGCAGAGCTTTCTACACTACAGTATAAACACATTATTTACAGATACAGCATTTAGTTTGCTGCAAGCAAATAGTTTCTTTATTTATCCTTAAAGAGAAAAATGCCTTTCAAGTCAGACACCTGTGGAAGGGAGCTCCAGAACCAGGACAGAGCAGCCAGGACTTACCATGGCCCCCTCACTTCTTCTTTGGGCAACTTCTCGCTGCAGCCGGGCCACAGCCAGCTTCTCCCTAGAGAAACAAAAGAGCACAATTACTTGGCCGTTCTTTTCAAGGCAGAGGGCATGGGCACAGCTCGGAAACATTCTTGTGAGGTCTCCAGAGGAACTCCTTCCTTGGTTTAGCTCACTTCCTCCACTAAACTTTCTATAAATATTTAAACTGAACGGTCATCATGCATTGTTTTCATTGAGTGTCATGAAAGGGAACTTTTTTTGCCTTGAAATTTAAAATAGCCAAATAAATGTTGAATGTTGAGTGAAAGCTTTACTTTAAATCCATTAATGTATATCATTTGTAAAAGAATTGTCTGTGTCCTTTCTGTATCAACTTTCCTCATATATATTTTAATTATTTTTATTTCTTTGTTGATCTATGTTGGTACTGAATTTTGACAAGCAAAAAAACATAAGTGTATCCTTCTTGAAATTATATGAGAAAATCATTTGCAGGCTTGCTTTGCAACAGCAATGTTAGCACCACACTGGGACTTTCACCTAATCTTGTATGAGCCCTATGGGTTGCATCGTTCCCATTTTATAAATATAAAAGTAGGGGCTCAGAAAGGCAAAGCAACAAGTTGACCCCAGCTGGTATGTAGTATATCATGATCAAAATTAGGTTTGCCTTACTTCAAAGACTAAAAATTTTGCATATCATTTTTCACGGACCAGGAAAAATCCGTAAGTCATTTGTGAGGATCTAGGAAATATGTAGAATTAAAAATCAGATTATTTATTTTAGTATTCTTTATTTTACAATGGAGTTTATTTGGTATCTTTTATCACTGGAATTCTGATTTCACTTCCAAAAAAGCTACTATTCACTAAGATTTTAAGAATATTTTTTAAACTGATAGATATCCGCATTTTAGACAGCTTTTCAATTATTCTTTGAATGGTTGGTAGGCGAAGTAAGGGTAAGTAAACTCTTCCAGCAATCCTCAAACCTTAGTTTTAGCAAGGATTTTCCCTGAAATGTTTCTGCTGCTAAGAAAATGTAAAACTATTGAAAAGATATTTAATCCCTCAGCTTTCCCTCTACACAGGATCAGCTATCTGCAAGCAGCAAAGAAGCAACTCAGTTCCCTGACAATGAGAAGGTTTCTCCTTGACTGCATTGGCCTCTGAAATGCCTACGACTGCCAAGAAGGCATGTGCTTGGTTCCGGTCCAGATGGCAGTGTAAGCAAATGCATTACTCGCGTTCTCTCACAACCACACTGAAACTACAACTAAACTACAGAAAAACTGTCATCCAGAACTGCCTGAAATCTAGCTGAACAGAAGTCCTATAACTAAGGGTATGAAGAAGAAGCCACATAGAGACTAAGAGGAGGGGTGGAGATGCAAAATGGGCTGGTCCCACACCCACATGCGGTGGTTAGAAATTAGGAGGAATATCTCAGCTACAGAACTTCTCTCCTGAGGATCAAGGGAACCCAGCTCCACGTCAGAACTCTCAGCCCAGGGTTCCCATGCTGGGAAGAGAAGTCTCCATAACTTCTGGCTGTAAAACCCAGTGGGAAGTGTGGCTGAGAGAGATAGAGGGCTGCCGCATTCCCAGGCATTCCTCTCTATGGGCCTGTGCACAAATGTACTCACTCACTCCCTCTGAGCTCCAGCACTGGGGCAGCAGCTCTAAAAGGGACCAGAGTCATGCAGATGCCAGAACTTAATTGTCTGGCATCAGGGCCAGGACTGGAGGGGCAGCTTTCTCCTAGACAGAAGTGCTAACATAGGCTACTGTTCCTTTGCTGAGCCCTCCCTGCTGACAGAAGTGCCATATTTGAGTCTCCATCAACCTGACTACCACTGTTCGCCCCACCCAGCTTGCAGGCCCACCTAAGCTGTTTCCAGTGGCTTTTTATACCAACAGCCTGTCTTGGCTCATACTTCAGACTTTCCTAAAATCTCTCAAGCAAGCAGCATCTGGCCTCAGCATGCCCTGACCCCTCACTAAGTGGCTCCAGGCCCAGCACTAGTGGCAGCCAGTCTTGGTTCACAGCTTGGCCTCTCCTGGGCACCGCCAAGCCCAGCACAAGTAGCAGCCATCTGCAAACTGCTTCGTAGTTCATGCTGGGTGGCCCCACGTACAACACAGGTGGCGGCTGACCTTGGTGTACACCTCCCAGGAAGCCCCAGAGCCACCTCCACAAGTGTCCCCCTAAGAGGCACACTCAGAGGAAACCAGAGCTCTGCCAAAGTCAGTCCCGTTCTGTGGGTGGGTCCTGGTACAGCTGGTTCTCCACAGTGGTCATAGCCAGTCTTTGCAGCCAATCAACATGGGGGCAAATCTCTCCCACTGACATGCCAAATTACTCTATAAATTCTTTCTCACCAGGATGAATACCTTTATCCAACCAAGTAAAGAGAAAGACATGAGCAGCAAGAAACAAAAAGTCCTATATAGAAGAGGAGGAAAAAAATTTTTTTAAATGATGACCCAGAACAAACAGCTATGCAGGAATCTAGAAAACAGCCAGTCCTGTTTTCAGCAAGAGGATGGAGAGTCTCCAATGGATGACTCCCAGAAAAAACAAACTGGATCAAAACTAAATTAATCTATATGTTTATAAATATTGAGAGGACTTTTAGAGTTTCAGGGGGAAAGTCTGTTAAGAACCAGAGATTGGAATATGAAAACCTAAGCCATGGCAATTATTAACTCTTGAAAGATCGAAGTTATTCTAGAAATGCAATTTTAGAATTCTACCAGACTCAGTTATGAATACTATTTACTTCATTTTTATAATTAATTTAGCTAATTAATTTTTAATAATAAAAAATCAAGGAGCAGGGGAAATATAGAGAGATAGGTGGGAGAGGAGCACTAAGTGTTTATAATAGGGAGACAGTTCATAATGTCCAAAAATGATAAATTTTAGAATAAAAGTACAAGTATGTTTTGTAGATACAAAGATGAAAAATCCATAAGATAGAGCTAAAAAAATGGAAGGTGGTTTTCAGGGCAAAGATATGGAGGTAGGGAGGAAGGGGTGAACATCTTATAAATTTTATCACTACACTTGATTTCCAAACTATGTACATGTGTTATTTTGACAAAAAATTTTCAAAAATATGTGCACTTTGAAACTGGTTGGATCATTTCCTTTCATTTTTACTAAAAACACTATGATGATAGATTGAGAGGTAGAGACAGATAGAGATGAGAGGCGGGAGAGAGATCTCAACAAGTATTTACCAACTGAAAACTCAGCCCCAAGTGATTCACCATCATGGTCCCAAAAAGAAGAACCTAATTAAAGGCTTTGGTAGATGGAAGAAAAATAAGGACTAACTAGAAGCATCAAGGAGTCTTCAGATAAATATCTTAAAGTATATACTATAAACAGTTTAACACTTATGCTGATATTTTAAATTTGAGATGTTTAATTTTTCTATTTTTTCATCAAAATACAAAATACACATAGAAATGAAGAAATCGTAAGTTCACAGTTTGATGAGTGATCATGAAGTGAACATGACCTGGTTGCCACCACCTAAGTAAATAACTAGAGTGTTAAGAACCCCAAAAGCTACTATGATGTTAATGATCATAATTAAGTAAATGTAATAATGTCCAAACTCAATCTGCCCCATGGTTTCCTTTGTATAGTGAATACAGACACATTTAACTTCTAGTCTAAACTAAATTATGCAGACTTGTATTTTTTCTCAATTGTTTAATCGGTATATGTTTTCCTCTAAATAAGCCCATAAATTCCTCCTCAGCCATAGCAGTGGCAGCTGAAACAATGCTGATTGACATATTTTTGCACATGGTCAGTTGTGATGTAGTTAATACCTTACTGTAACAACTGTTTGCTTGAATGTTGAGACCATAGTCAGTTCATCTCTATAACACCTACTAAGGGCTATTTAGTAGGAGCAAAAATGTCTGATTTGCTGAATGAGGAATCAGTTGCACAATCCAATACCAACTGCCTAGTATAATAGCATTTCAATAACACTATCATTCTTCACTGACATGTTACACTGCACATACACTCTCACACAAATGACCCCTATAGGTCACCTTCTGGTTCTGGTGGCCACAAAAGCTTGTTTACATACATTTAAAATTAGGAAAAGCAGAGCTCCCATTGGCTACCATGTAAATAGTGACTACACTTCAACCAAATGAATTTCTATATAAGAATATAGAATGAGAGGACAGTCGAATAGCCATTGTTGAATATTTGAGTCAGGGGACCCCTCTGCACCCCCAAAATTACTGAGGTCCCAAAAGAGCATGAGTTTACATGGGTTATATCTATTGACATTTATCACATATAAATGAAAGCAGATAGCTTTAAAATATTTATTTGTTAATTCATTAAAAGTAAGAATAAACCCATGTTAACACAAATAAAACATTTAAATGAAAAATTAACCTATATTCCAAAAGTAAAAATAAAATCATGAGAGACACTGCTTTAAAATTTTGCAAATATTTTTAACATCTGGCTTAAAAGAAGATAGTTGGATTCACATATCTGCTTCTGCATTCAACCCATTGAGATAGCACATCACGTAGTTTGTAGGAAATGCCACTATACTCTTATATAAGAAAGTGAATAGAAGAGGGAAATAACACCTTAATGTTATTACAAAAATAATTTTGACATTGTAGATCCCTTCAAAGCATCTCAGAGACACCCAGGATTGCAGGACCACACTTTGAGAACTCTGTCCGCCCAGAAGATACAGAATTAGAAATGAAAGAATGTTCTGGAAATTTTCCTGGAATCATCATTCCTGATGGCTGAATCTCCAGAGAAATATTTAATATATATGTTAATAGCATGTTAATTTTTTACAAGAGCAGTTAAGCATAACAAAGACCTTTCTAGAAACAGCAAGAGTCTAATGTTAGCACTGTCACCCTTCTAAATGACAGGTCCGAATATAGTTTAAAGGTTAGAAACATCATATTTTACCCTCAAAGGAAATTGCCTTTATTACACTACTAAGGATTATCTCATAGTCCAGGTGCTTGTCAATTCATATT